CTCTCTCTCTCTCTCTCTCTCTCTCTCTCTCTCTCTCTCTCTCTCTTTTCGAAAATCGAAACGGAAATGCATCTTCCCGCTCTCTCTCTCTCTCTCTCTCTCTCTCTCTCTCTCTCTCTCTCTCTCTCTCTTTTTTTCTTCTTTTTTTCCCTCTTTTTGTTATACTTTTAAGTTTTAACTTTTAAGCATCCCTTTTTTTCTAAACACAGTTGCACACCAGGCGCCTGCCTCAGTTGGTTGGTTGGTTGGTACACCCATGAGCAGCTGTTTAAACTTCAAATACAGACCTGTGTTCAAATTCCCACTGGGAACTGGATGAATAGCCTTTTTTTCTTTTTTTTTTCTTTTTAATTTGGACCATTTCTTGATTTATGTGTGTCGTTCTTGCGCAGGGGCCATGCTAATCTTCACTCTCTGTATCGTTCCAATTTTAACGGATAAACTGCATGCATACTACGATGAAATAGAACAAAATAATTCTTCACCAACGGGCCTGCTTAGCTCAGTTGGTACACCCCCCCTGAAGGGCCTGAACTGTTGAAATACAGACCAGGTGCTGAGTTCGAACTCCACCGAGAGCGAATGATTAAAACGCCCGTCTGAATTGACACCCCTGTCTGAGCTACAGAGGGTCGGTCAGCTCGAGAATGATACCTCAATTCTGATTTATCTGGGGGCAGCGAATGCATGAGATGATATCTCAAGACGTAGAAGTCGACGGTGCTTGGACGCGACACTCAAGCATGACGCTCAAACAAGTGCGCACGTTGAGGATTGGCAGAACAAACCAAATGTAAACACAGATCATGAAGGATTGATGATGATGAGGAGGAGGAAGACGAGGCAGGAGGTGAAAAAATAGAGCAATGAAGAAGAAGAAGAAGAAGAAGAAGAAGAAGAAGAAGAAGAAGAAGAAGAAGAAGAAGAAGAAGAAGAAGAAAGACGAAGAAGGAGACTGAGAAAACTTCTCGCCTGTCTCATACTATGCTGCATATCCCTGCCGTCTTCTACCCCAGTCTGCGAGCACTCGCGCATTTTTCTCTTCCTACCACGAGCCTTTTCCCACCTTGCAAGCGCAACCATCCCCTGATGATGGCCATTTCAGCGAGGTGGTCGAAACGAAACGGGTCGGGTTTATCGCCGACCTCGCTCCATGATTTGTTGTTTCGTATTTTTCGGTAGCGGGGTTACTATTGCGACAGTTGCGCTACTTGTGAGTTGGTCTCTCCTCTCTTCTCCACATCTCCAGATTGTCTCATGTAGGTGCATCTCAACAAAAACGTCTCACTCTAGGCGGAGTCCTCCACCCCGTCTGTCATCTTCTTACCAGCTATGAAGACGAAATGATGAAGTCACCTCTTGGCGGAGACGGGATATCTTCTTCATGATCATTCGTCGCCGTCGTCCTCCTCCTCTTCTTCTTCTTCTTCTTCTTCTTTCTCATCAACTTCTTATTGTTCTTCCTTTTTCTGTTTTCCTTCTTCAACTCACCGTAACATGATCCATGTTCACCTTGGCGTCTTTCTGTATCTGCTCTCTTTGTTATGTTCTGTACAGAGGATAATGTGAGGTCCGTCATCTACGTCTACCATCTAGTCATCACCGTTGTCGACCGTCGGTCATACAATCATCGGCCTTTAAGATTTCACATCGTAAGGCCTTTAAAGCAACAAGGTAAGACTTCACAAAAATAACCATAGGGAATGGGCTACCACCCGGGCCGCCCGGGTCACCTTGGTTGACCGCGCAGCCTGGCCGCGTGAGGACCAGCGAAGGGCCCAGCAAACCGAGAAAAAAAAAGAAAAAAGAAAAAAAAAGAGACTATGCCATGCACATAAATAAACTGAACGACATTCTCGGTCACCGCAAAATTCTTTGCCAAATTTGAAATAATAAAATATATTTTTCGTTTTTAATACTTTTATTTATTTATTAATTTGATTTATTTATTAATTGTACCCTGCCTGGCAACTTGCCCCGGGCCAATCTGGTAGCCTGGCATAGGCATTAATTACCCCAACAGACCTTCACATGCTGTAAATTGCCTCCGGAAATGCCGATAGCCATGTGCAACAGTTTCGCAGTCAGCGATGGTGAAGTTAAACCGCTTCTCGATTGCAAGATAGAGCACCTGCATCCACCACAGATGCAAGGAAGATGAGCAATAGCGAACTTCAGCAATCAAACAGCATCATACATATGAGTCCAGATAGTCGTGACCTCGAACCAACAGCAGAATTGCATCACGAGATTCACCAAATAAGAACACACCAAGAGTTCATAATTGACAATGCTGAAATAGTCCCATCATCATCATCAACGAAGAACCAGAGTTGATATCCTATCTGGCGCTCGGCGCCCAGACTACATGTGGCAGATCCTATCTAGCGTATACTACAATGTCGAAGTTGACGACAACAGCTCTCCCGAAGTACGAGCATACAGCGACCAATGTCGCACGCTTCCAGCACCAGGTATGTCTCTCGCCTTACGCACAACCTCGTTCCCCAACACACAGATGCCACTTGCACCCAAGGACCACCCTGTGCCACACCCAGATTACATCAGCGCAGCTCGGCTATGGCTGCCTGCTCCTTAGCGCAGCAGCAGCACTTGCGCAGCATGCAGCCAGCACCCGAATGCCGAATCCGGAGGCAGGCCCTTTGCTATATCAAAGTGGCCTGAGGCCTGCCTGCGTCCAGTCCCAGGAAGCTTCCAGTAGGCCCTCGTAGCCTGAGGCCCAGCACGAACGAAAACAGGCCTTGGGCCTGAGGTGGTTGTATGCGCTCAACTGCCTTTGGCCTGTGTTTGGCCCAGTACCCGTATCCATCCCAGGGCCTGCTTTCCATACATTCACACAGGTGGCCCAGGGCCTGGATTCTCTCAACCAACTGGCGCTGCGCACCTGTCTGAATTTCTCTGAGTTGCGTGGTGGCCAGAATAGAGCCCTGAAGGCCTCGTCGAGCCTGCCTTCACTTAGGGCGGCCGACTGGCTACAAAATGGGTCCTTATGGGGCTCATAGAGGCAGTGGCCTCGCACAGATGTGTTTTTTTCTTTTTTTAATAACATAAATGGAAATGATCATTGCCCAACCACAACAGACAATCAAATCAAAAAAAAAAAAAAAAAAAAAAGAAAAGTAAAAAAAAAACATGAACCTACAGAAAGGGAAGTGCAGAACCTCCATGGCTAAGGTTTTGGATTGCGGATGTGTATTGAATCTTCATTTTTATTTTTTTAATACTATTTTTGGGGCTACCAACCGGGCCGCCCGGGGTTACCTTGGTTGCCTGGGTGGCCACCGGGCGAGGGTCAAAAAAAAAAAAAAAAAGCACCAAATTCAAATTGTGTTTTTTTGTTTTCAACTATTTAACTACACCATACAAACAAATCAATTGAATATTTATGGCAAAACGACTCTCGATTCTCAAACAGCCTATATTTTCTACATTCAACTGAAATCAGACTCACTTTCGTTCACACTCCACATGCATGAAAGCGCAGCAAACTGGCGACAAGTGCCCAGTTCAAAACTCAGAGATACAGTACACAAGAACACAGTTCAGATACAAGCTCACTTCAGATGGCTATGGCGCACAAGCGCCTGTACATCCCTCTGTTCGTCACTCACCCAACTCTGCTGTTCACACACAAGATCACCCTGGATATCCCACACGCGTCACACTGTACACACACGCACACACACACGCTACTCTCTCCTATCAGCTATGGCGGCTATGGCCGCTACTACACCTATCGCTATGGCTAAGCTCTCCTTCTCGCCCACTTCGTCTTTGGGCTCACTGCAGACCACCTCGCACAAGTCGATGTGGCAGCGCTTCCGCATGGCTTACGCAGGAATGAATGAATGGCTGGGCGCTGCCTCTTGATTTATACTTCTGTAGCTCGTTGGTCTGCCCCTTTCCCATGCCCCTGGTGCACAGTCCCACACGGTACTTGCTTGACTGGACTGAGACTGACTGGGGCTGGGTACCGCTGACTCAGGACCGGTCGACTTCGCCACTTGCCCACTTGCCTCGGTCTACTGTGGGCAGTACCCGAAAGGCCATTTCCGGACCTTCCGGAAGACCGTGGACTTGGCCTTTCGGTACTGTAGCAGCTACAACCTTGACCCTTCAGGACTGTAGCAGCTACGACATTGACCCTTCGGAGGAGCTACAGCTACGACTTCTAGAACTCACTAAGACTCCTATCCGACAGATCTACAGATCGAACCCCTATAACCTACAGACCTACGACAACCTACCAACTGTGGGGAAAGACACAGGTCGTGGGTTCAACTCCTGAGGTCGACACAGATACTGTACACAGGTGAGATAAGGACTAGGGATCGAGCCCTGGGATCTGCATCGGCTACTGCAAAGGTGGAATCCGTTTCACAACAATCATTTGGTGGATTATCCAAGTCCTAGCACCCTCAGCTGTTGGTGGGGTTTTGCATCTCTTGCTGGTACTTGTTTGGTAATCCAGATCATTACAGGCACTTTTTTTTCAGCAATGCATTATACGCCTCATGTAGATTTAGCTTTCTACAGTGTAGAACATATCCTGATGAGTCGGTGAAACTCCAACGAAACAGTTTGTCACAGCCCCTCCCTCGTTTGTTGTCCTCGTCTCCCTCCCTCTATGCCTACACTTTACCGTCATCGGGAAGCTCTCTGTTTGACTATATATATCGTCACAAACAGAGCTGCCCGGTAAACCGTAGGCAGAGAGAGAGAAGAGGACAACAAACGAGGGGCTGTGACAAACTGTTTCGTCGGAGTTTCACCGACTCATCAGGAGGCTGAACCCTCAACAGTCTGCAGAATCCCCTCA